CCGCCGCCATTCAAGGGCCTCTCCTCTATCATCGCCATCATCGCGCGCGTAAGAAACTTGGGCCAGTTCTCGGGCGCTTAGCGAAGAAAGAGGCGGAGAAAAAGACACACGTCGGGCCTTAAGTTCGCCTGAATCGAGATCGTCCCGACGCGGCTCGCCCGCCATGGCGCGAGTAATCGCCCGCGCCGGAGAGAACGCCGGTAATTTACGAGATAATTTCATCAAGTAAGCCCACGCTCTACACACACACACACACCATACACACACACACACACACACACACACACACACACACACACACACACACACACACACACACACACACACACACACACACACACACACACACACACACACACACACACACACACGCACGCACGGCACACCAGTCACACCCATCCAAAACTGGATAACAGCAAGAGCGCCTCCCTTCCTGGACGCAAAGTGAACTGCCGTCTTTCCCCTCCCTCTCCCTCTCCCTCTCCCCTCTCTCCCTCCCTCCCTCTCCCTCTCCCTCCTCCCCCCTCCTCTCCCTCTCCTCCCTCTCCCTCTCCCTCTCCCTCTCCCTCTCCCTCTCCCTCTCCCTCCTCTCCTCTCCCTCTCCCTCCGTCCTTCGCAAGATGGAAAACTCTTTTCACTCAGATAAATTCGCAACTTCAATCATTACCATAATCAGCCTCATTTGTTACCCCCTTTAACTGCATAATAATTAGCCTCATTATCATTATTTCCATTGGATTGCTACGCTGAATAAGACCATTTTTTTTATTCAACAAACTCGAGAGAATTCGGAAAAAAATGTGAAGAGACTCAAGCGACAAGTGCAGTGATGGTACTTCAAAGTACTTACAAGTGGTACACAAAAGTACTTACAAATGGTACACAAAAGTACATACAAGTGACGTACATATACTGTTAACATGTGCTGTTCTGAAAATATATAGAACATGTAAGTGGCGTATATGTCCCATCAGTGTGTTGGATCTGAAATATATACACGCGGCAAAATACTAAATGATATTGTGTAGGTCTGCTGGAACCCTGCCTTATAAATACACTTTTTTTGAAAAACAGGCTTCCATTTTTTTTTGTCTGATTAGTGATTTTTTTTTTTTTTCGTTTCACCTTGTCATGTATGTCCTTTTTCTGAAGTCTGGGCGATTTCTATTTGCGTCAAACTTTTTATTTAAAAAAGTATAAAAGTAAAAAAAAAAAAAAAAAAAAAAAAAAAAAAAAAAAAAAAAAAATCCAGGGAAGTCTTCGAAGTGTACTTGCAGATCCGCTAACTAGCCCTTTTCTCTCACTTGTTAATCTAGGCATAAGTGCAAATTATGGAATCTACTACTAACTTTTCTTGCAGTGTAAAAAAAAAAATTAATTAAATAGATACATACATAAAGAGTTAAAAAGAAACACCACACACGTGACCCTGACCATGTGGTGCAGCAATGTCTCACAAAGCAAACGCATAAATAGAGAAAGTGTGACGTATGAATAGAACACATTTGTTTTCTACCTCATGGAAACCACATCTGCCATTACAACCTAAGTTAGTGTAAGTTGTTAAGTTCCTTCCATCAAGTTATGTTACTGTACGTTTATTTATACTTACCAATATGACTAAGGTGATGAGAGAGTAACACGTTAAAAGACCAATTTTGAATTCTAAATGTCTTTTCTTATCCTTCCCGGTTTACTTGCAATGAATAAAAATCAAAACACACCTCAGTCACTTCAAACCGCACACGCAGACACCAGTACCGCAACCACAACGTACCTACGCATACCAGAAGTTTATAAAATAAGAACCGCACGAACACCATAAAGCAATTTCTCCACATTCAAAAAAAAAAAAAAAAAAAAAGAAAGAAAGAAAGAAAGAAAGAAAAAAAAAAAAATAAAAAAAAAAAAAACTCGACACCTCCACCGGACAGCGAAACAGAGCAAAATACCTTCTTAATATCTCCTCATCACCAAGATTGAAGTCATATAAAGTTTTAACACCACATCACACTACAAGATCTTAATAATACCTGATCGCTGTCCTTTAAACACCAGACTGACCGATCTCAGGCTCGACTTATTGGACATCGAAGTGATAAGCGAACCCCCCCGAGAGAAGGAGGGTCAGCGCTGTCCTTCCCTGACCTCTGACCTCGCAATGACGCAATGCCCTCCATCGGATGACCCCCAACGCGGCGTAGGTCAAACCGGTTTCAAATCGCCCGGGTCAAGCGTTCGAGGTCAAATTCGTTGTCAGGAATATCGTCGGTCGAAAATAGGTTCTGTTGATACGTGATGTTATGAAGTATGACGGTTTGATGCTTGAACTTGAGTTAGGTAAAATAAATAGATAAATAAATAAATAAAAACTTATTTTCTTTCTTATTCTTATTCTCCTCTTTGTACTTTCTCCAGCTTCTCAATTTTCCCCGTTTCTCTTTATTGTTTCTATCTTTATCTTTTGTGTACCTCTTCCTTTCTTCTTTTCTCATCCTTTCGCTCCTCATTCTCTTTCTTTTTTCCATTCTGCCTCCCTCTTTCTTCCTCATCCATTTCCTCTAGTTCCTCTTCGCTTCCAGCATTTTGACCAAGATGTCCGTAATAGACAAAGGAGCAGCGGCGACCAGGCCTACCTACCACCATCGATCATAACGAAAGCGAAAACGAAGAGAGAAGTAAAGAGTGTGAGGCAACCGAATTCTTATCAGGCGCACACTTGCTCCGAAAATTGCGCCACGAGTGATTTGCCGCAAGTGTTCCTAATTCTCGACGCCCAGGGGGAGAGTGCGGTTCTCCGCCGGTTCTCCACGGGCGAAATCGCGCCTTTTGGGGGATCTTATCACAGGAACAGGAGAAATAGCGTGCTTCATATTTCTAAGTGGAGAGTGCGGTTCTCCGCCGGTTCTCCACGGGCGAAATCGCGCCTTTTGGGGGAACCTGTCACAGGAACATGAGAAAACAGCGCGTGTCCTATATACCATACTGTATAACGGCTACCTTATGGTACTGGAAATCATGTGTGACCTCTGACCTTACATCAGCAGGCAATGCTAATTGTGCTGGATATGCTTATGTTGTTATTGCCATTGCTGTGGTGGCTGTTGGTGATGGGGTTGTTTATTGTTCTCCCTATCACTCGCCGACAAGTTTGGACGTGCTCGTGGTATCGACAGCATCACATTTGGCTATTTAATTATATTTCATTATGGCCGTCTAACCATTTCATTCTGATGACACACTACCGAATAACTAAGGCCTGAATTCATATTACCGAAACAACCTTATCAAAGGAGTAAGTGAAATCTGGAGTGGCGTCCCGTAGAGTTAATCACCACCTCCGATACTATGCCTTCTAAATAACTCTACCGGGACAGAACGACACACTTCTACCTTTCTTCCGACTCATTCCCTCTCGCCGAGAAAAATAACGACTTCTTCTACGCGCCTCACCTTCCCTTGCCTCGCTCCTTACCTTTTTTTTTTTTTATTCCGAAGCTCTTGGCGCGGCGATCGGCTCTCCTCCGAAGCCAAACGAAAATCGATCACGGCTTCGAGTCATTTATCACGAAAATAGGACTTCCAAAGGGAGAGTAAAGTGCCAGGCATCGTCCGTGGCGGGAGGCCTAACAGTCACAGCCAGAAAACACTTTTTTGTTGTAAATATAGGGGGCAGTGCTGCCACGAACAAACACAGACCCTTCAAACACAGGCGCACACACATACTCTACTCCGTATATATATATAATATATATATATATATATATATATATAATATATATACATATATATGTGTGTGTGTGTGTAATGTGTGTGTGTGTTGTGTGTGTGTGTGTGTGTGTTGTGTGTGTAGTGTGTGTGTGTGTGTGTGTATGTGTGTGTGTGGTGTGTGTGTGTGTGTGTGTGTGTGTGTGTGTGTGTGTGTGCGTGTGTGTGTGTGTGTGT